TCTGGACCTAATTTAGTACTCTGTGCAAAATTTTGTCCCAATCTGGGACTTTGGTGTATACTGGGAGCTTTATCTGAATCTGAACCGATTAAAAAAAAAACTTAGCAGACATCAGCCTGGACCTAATTCAGTACTCTGTGCAAAATGTTGTCACAATCGGACAAATAAAATATTGGGAGTTTGGTGCATCATTTACATAAAATTGGACGAAACTATATATGGGAGCTATATCTATCCTTGGGCCAAATATTTGAACTGTGCCAAATTGCATCCAAATCGGATCATAAATGCGACCTGTACGAGCTACGACGGATCATACGAGCTACGACGAAACTATATATGAGAGCTATATCAAAATCTGAACTGATTCCAACAAAACTTCGCATACATTAGTATGGATCTGATCCAGTGCGCTGTGCAAAATTTTGTCCCAATTGGACTAATATTGGAAGTTTGGCCCATCATTTGCATAAAATCGGACGAAACTATATATGGGATCTATATATATTCAAATAAGTAAACTGTGCCAAATTTCATCCATCCCATCATAAATGCGACCTGTACATTGTTCACAAAAATACATGGACAGACGGACATGCGTTAATCGACTCAGAAAGTGATTCAATGCATATACTCAAATGGAACAATGGGTCTGCCTCGATTCCATATGCACAAAGACATAATACCCTGTACCTCAGAGTGGTGAAGGGTATAAAAACACGCCTTGTTTGAAATAAAAAAATATATGTTTTTAAAAATCTAGACCTTGTGAAGCTTCTTGAAAAAATATGTTTTAAAAATCTATTTGGTTGGTCCTTGATAAATTCCACGCCTTCTTTGATTGTTCCTTGAAAAATGTTTTTCAAACAATTTACGCCTGGTGTGGGTTCTCTAAAAAAATATTCCTTAAAAAGTCCACGCCTTGGATGGTCCTTAGAAAAAATTTCCTTAAAAATCCACGTTTTGTATGGGCCCCAAAATAATATTCTTTAAAAAAATTCACGTTTTTGTGGGACTTTTATAAAAATATGCTTTAAAATCTCACGCCTTGGTAATTGAAAATATATTTATTTTAAAAAATGTTCGCTTTGATTATCGAAAAAATATCTTTTCAAATTAATACGTTTTTTTTAATTCACGCCTTAAAAAATACACGACTTGGAAGACTCTTGAAAAAATATTATTGTGTGATTTGAAGATTCCTTGAAAAAAAAAAAATTAAACAACACCGTGTGAGGCTTTTCAACAAACATATTTTCATACAGGCAAAAATAATCGAGATAGACACATGGTTCCTTTTTAGAATATGCATAGAATCATTTTTGAATCGATTTATGCATGTCCGTCCGTCGGACCATGTTAAATTTTCTCATTTTTAATCGAATTGGATGAAAATTGTCACAAACCCTATTGAAATTGGGAAAAATCGGTTCCCATATAAATTTTCGTCCGATTTAAGGTAAATGGCGCACCAAAGTCCCTAAATAGCTTTCGATTTGCACGAAATTTGGCACAGCGTACTAAATTAAGCCTAGAATGATGTGTGCTAAGTTTCGAGAAAATCGGTTCAGATTTAGATTTAGCTCCCATATATATATTCGTCCGATTTCATGTAAATAGTGTACCAAAGTCTCTTTATATCTTTCGATTTGCACGAAGTTTAGCATAGCGTACTGAATTAAGTGTAGAATATTGTCTGCTAAGTTTCATGGAAATCGGTTCAGATTTGAATATAACTCCAATATATATTTTCGTCCGATTTTATGTTAATGGTGAATTTTGGCATAATGTACTGAATTTAGTCTAGAATTCAGATTTCGATATAGCTCCCACATATACATCTATATTTGTTCGATTTTTCATAAATGGTGCACCAAAATACTAAAGTTTGTCCAATGAACACAAAATTTTTCACAAGGTATCACATGACGTTATTGCGTTTTGTTGAAATTGGTGCTGATGCAGCCATAGCTTCCATACGTATTTCGAACTGGTGTCTAATTGAAATTAAAATTTTAACTGTGCGGCGTACTGAATAGCGTGTAGCAATTTTGCAATAAATCGTTTTCCATGGTACGCAGACGACTCTAAATCTGCCCGAATGAAATTAAATTTATCATATGTTCCTTCGAGGGAACATTTACATGAAAATGTAAGGATACATATGTACAATATATCCAAAGTGGTGAAGGATGTCATATCGTCGGCCCAGTCCGACTTTACTACTTTCCTTACTGGTTTTTATATGAATTATAGGACTTTATTTAACATGTTTCGGAATGACCGATTTGGTGCAAATATGCACCGTTTTGTTGGATGATTTGTTTCCTAATGCCTCTCTTACAGAAGTCCTGCTACCTATTTGAAAAAAAAAATCTAGTAGTCGATTTGCACAATCGTCCCTAGATACCAATTTTTTATCATTAAAGAAATTTTGCAATGCAAAGAAAATATGATAAGCGGATGCATCAAAACTACCCAACCAAGCTCCCGAAGTTTCTGGCGAGTCACTGTAGATGTGTGTGGCCTAGCGTTGTCCTGGTGGAACACGACACCTCTCCTGTTGGCTAATTCTGACCGTTTCTGGTCAATTGCTATCTTCAAACGGTCTAGTTATTGATATTAGGGATCAGAATTTAGCGTTAGACTATGTGGAAGCAACTCATAATAAATAACTCCCCTCCAGTCCCGCCAAATGCATAGCAGAACATTCCTGGCCGTTAGTCCTGGATTGGCTACAGTTTGAGGTGCTTCACCGCTTTTTGACCACGATCGTTTTCGCACAGGTTTATCGTATGTGGTCCATTTCTCATCTCCAGTCACCATCCTTTTAAGAAATGGGTCTATCTCATTCCGTTTGGGCAAGGCTTCGCAGATGGAAATTCGATCCATCCAATTTTTATATCCTTCACCACACTGTGGTACAGGGTATTATGTCTTTGTGCATATGTTTGTAACAGGCGAAAATAATCGAGATAGACCCATGGTTCCTTTTGAGAATATGCATAGAATCACTTTCTGAGTCGATTTATGCATGTGCGTCTGTCCATGTTAAATTGTAAACATAGTACAGGTCGCAGTTTTGATTCGAATTGTATGAAATTTGGCGCAGCTCATTTATTTAGCCCAAGGGCGAACCCTATTGAAATTGGGAAAAATCGGTTCAGATTTAGATATAGCTCCCATATATATATATATATATATATTCGTCCGATTTAAGGTAAATGATGCAGCAAAGTGGCTATTTTTTTTAAAAACATTTTTTTGTAGATTTTTTAGCTCCTGGGCGATGTTACGACTGCTAAAATGCCGGTCAACTTCGATCATTTCTCCGATTTTATCGACATTTTCGACGACAGGCCTAATGGGTTTTTTTCCAACCTAATATATATTTTTTAAACAACACCGTGGGAAGCTTCTTAACAAGCATGACTCTTTGAAAAATGAATTTTAAATTTACACCTTATGAGGATCTAAGAAAAACTTTTTAAGAGGCTCCCTGAAAAATATTTTTCTAAATACATGATTTATAAGGCTCTTTGAATAAATATATTATTTAATCTACGGCTTATAAGACACCTTGAAAAAATATTTTTTTTTTTTTAATAATCCATGCCACTCTTATGTGGGTCTTCAAAAATCCAAGAAAAGTATTATTTTAATATATAATGTAGGTCCAAGAAAATATTCTTAAAAAAAAGTATTTTAACACTAGATTGCCGAAGGCCGTCATTTTGACCGTTATTCAATTTCAAGTACAAAAACAACTGTGCATATAATAACACAAATTTTTTAAATTTGGTGACTTTTTTATAATAAACGTAATTCTATGTGCTGGAAAAAGTCACAAAATTTAAAAAAAGTGTCAATATATGCACAGTTGTTTTTTTTTAATTGAAATTGAAAAGCGGTCAAAATGACTGCCTTCGGCAATCTAGTGTTAAAAGTACAAGCTATGTGTACATCTATAAAAAATATAATAATAATAAAAAATATTTAAAAAACACGCCTTGAGAGCATTTTAAAAAAATATATATTTTTAAAAATCTAGAAATTGGCTTGATAAAAAATATTTTTTGAGAAGCTGCTTAAAAAATGTTTTTCAAAATTCCCGCTTATTGGCGAACTATGTAAAAGTAAAACCTTTTAAGGGTCATTAAACTATACTTTATAAATCTAATACTTTTGGGGATTCATTAAACATAAAAACATATTTTAACGTCCAAGCCTTGTGAGGACTTCAAAAAAAAAAAAAATAAATAAATAAAAAATAAAAAATAAAATAAATAATAAATAAATAATAATTTTAAAACTAAATTTAATTTTAAATTGATTTTTATAATATCTAGGCCTTTTGAGGCACCTTGCAAAAATATATATGTTTTTTTTTAATCCAAACCTTTTATGGGTTCTTAAAAAAATACTTTGAAAAATCTACTTATGTACGAGTCCTGACAATCTGTCGTATATTAGAACTTGAAAACATGGTATTTTTTTTTTAAATATTTACCAAACTTATTTTTAAATTACCATGATAATAACCATATATCATCTTTCACATCTAATCAATATATTTAATGTATATCTTAAAATATATATATATATATATTTATATATATTTTATTTACTAACAAAAACATCAACAGAATCGAACTTCATTGTTTTACTAATCGCAACTTTTTTCCAAATTTTCTTTCTCTCCCCTTTTGCAAAACTTTTCCTTCAGGCAACAAAACAGCGGCAACCATCGGGAAATAAAATCCATAAAAAGTGAAAATTGAATTAAGAAAAAAAAATAAATAATAAAACAAAATAAAAATTGCAAATCAAGTGAATTAAAGTTCAAAAAATAAAAAAAAAATCGTGAAATTCAAATTAAAAGTGCAAGAAGAGACACATAATAAATAACAACAACAAAAGTCCAACAAAAATAACAAAAAAAGAAAAAAAAAAGAAAAAAGGCCAACGAAACACATTTTCAAAATTAAGAAGTTAACATAATGTTAAGTTCGTTGGATGCTTTGGCTAGTAAAATATCACCTGGCTCAGGAAATAATTCTCCGTCCCAGCAGCAGCAGCAACAACAAAATCAGTCGTCTACCCAGGTTCAACAAACATTGTCACGTTCCATTCTACGCAGCCCTTTGTATCAGACAGATTTGAAGGCAGACAACAATATACACGATTGTGCCGACAACCAGTCAAATCAGTCATTACGTTTAAACGGCAATCAAACCCAGCAGCACCAGCCCTCCCACCACCACAGCAATCACCACCACCACCATCTGCATCAGCATCATCATAACAATGGCCTCGATAGCAATGGCAACAAATTATGCCACATCACTCACAATTCCATACATCCATATCACAAACAACCGAATTCACCGAACAATGGTAGCAGTCAACAATATCAGGCGCACAACCAACAACACCACAGTCACCAGCATCAATCCCACCACAATCACCTGCTGCATCATCAGGCCAAATTGGCCAACTACCAGCAGCAGCAATCATCATCAAATTCAACATCGCCACCCACCACACCATTGCCGTTATCCTCATTATCACCCCAGGAATGTGCGCAGCAGCGACAACAGCAACATGAACTGTTTCAGCAGCAGCTGCAGCAGCAACAACAACAGCAGCAGCAGCTTCTCCAGCAACAACGTGAACGAGAACAAGACCAGGAACAGCAGCTACAATCGTCATCATCGGTTGCATCGCCTCCTATGTCACCACCCACACCCACATCACAGTCTTATGACGAAACTGATTCCCAGCATGAATTTGGCAGTTGTCTGAAGGAAAAGTAAGTAAACAATAACAACAATAAAAACAACCCATCCAATACTTCCCAATACTTCCAAAAAATGAAATGCATTGTTGTCAGTCATTTTTTCATTCATTCATTCTTGTAATTTTTTTTTCGCTTGTTTTCTTCATTCTCTTATTTTTTTTTCTTTCTTTTCATTTGTATGTTAAGAATGTTGTTGCTCTCGTTTGTCTCCCCCTCTGTATCTTCTTCTTCTTTTATTTTCGATTTTTGTTTGGCAGCCGTGGGTTTTTTGCCTTTACCCTGATTTTTTCATTTCCCCATTTGGCAGTCGTTTTCATTTTCCACCCACAATGTTCGCCTGCATCTGATTGTAATTGGATAAAAGTTATCCTGATATCCTTCTGTCGTTTTATGTTTTTTTTTTCGATTCGTTCTTCTTCGTCGTTTGCTAATGTTTCATTCATTCATACAACTGCGTTTTCATTTTCATTGCATTTTTATACGGATTCACGTAAAATGTGCTATGATAGGCGAGGATATATAAAGCTTCTTGTTCCGTTTGTAACATATGGAAAAAAATTGGATTATAATATATATGGAATTTATTTCATTTTAAACTGAGCCGATCAGTATTGAGCAAAATTTCGTGACATCATGTTAAATTTCGAAGAAAACTTGGGAGTATGGTGCACCAGTTGCATAAATTCGAACGAAAATATATATGGTAGGTATATCTAAATCTGAATCGATTTCGACAAATCTTACATAATATCGGTTGAAAATATATGTGGGAGCTATATATAAATTTGAACAGCTTTTTTACCCATTTCAATGACAAATTGAATTTTATTCAGATCATAGATGTAGGTTATATGGACTTAAGTTCGATCAATCAGACATTTTTATATCCCTCTCCACTCCCTTTTTATGGGTTTATGTCATTGTAGATTATATGCTACTGTGATAAAATGAAATGCCAAATAACAGAAGAAGGTTTAACTTCACTAGAAATCCGGAATGCCCAAATGCCGCTGCTTTTGTGAAAAAATTGGAAAAAACACATACAAATAAAGCAAAGCTAAGTGTGGTCATATTGAATTTTTTGAACCAAATTTCTTACTTTCCAACAACCCGCAATGCTATTTTGGTGGAAAGATTTGCTGAAGCCATAAAATGCGAAACGCGGAACACAACTCATAGCTCTATATCGAAAAAGTTATAAAATGTCTAAAAAATATGTATCAGTCTTTCTGAACCCGAAGTACCAAATACGAAGGGTAGCTCAGCTAAAAACTTTGAAATATCGTAAATTGGATCAATATTGGTTATGTTCTGCCTCCACAAACCCGGAAACCATATAAAAGGTACTTCTGTGGGAAAATGTTTGCTAAAAATTTGTGGGGACCATATCAAAACATGTCCAATATTGATTACACACTGCATAGATATATATCAACCTCTAAAACTCGGGATACCAAATTACAGGTAATTCGGTAGGGAAATTCAAAATGTCGAAAATGCGGCGAAGTTATAAAAGGGTTATTTACACTCCAAGAATCCGAATTGCCAAACAACAACCTCTTCGGTGGGAAAATACTTCAAAACTTTCAAACAACAGAAAATTGTATACGTGGATTTATGTCAGGATCCATACACCCGAATATTGATATTCCTTTCAAAATAAAAAAGTAGTAAAGTCGGACGGGGCCGACTATATGATACCCTTCACCACTATGGGTATATTAAACAGGACTATAACATAAAATTGGATGAAAAAAATGTGATATTTATTTAAATGTGAATCAATCGACTTCACACAAATATAAATAGGTCATCCGTTGGGCTATGTCTGCACTTCTAGAAAACGCAACTACGTAATTATATGCTCAATTTTGTAAGTTGTGCAAAATTTGATGTCAATCTGACTAACATGAGGAGTTTGATGTCCAATTTACTTCAAATCGGGCGAAAATATATATGGAAGCTCTATCCAAATATTGAGCGATTTCAAACAAACTTGTCACAGGTTAGGTTATACTAATATCAGAACCTTTTGTTCCTATTGGTTCCTTGGTGCGTCAATTACTTAAAATCAATCTATAATAAAAGGGAGCTATATCTAAATCTGGACCGATTTTCACGAAACAAGGCGGACATCACTCTAGGCTCAATTCAGTACGTTATGCCAAATTTCGTGCAAATCGAAAGATATATAGCGACTTTGGTGCACCATTTACATGAAATCGGACGAAACTATATATGGGAGCTATATAGAAATCTGGACCGATTTTCTCGAAACTTGGCAGACATAATTCTAGGCTCATTTCAGTACGTTATGCCAAATTTCGTGCAAATCGAAGGATATATAGGGACTTTGGTGCACCATTTACATGAAATCGGACGAAACTATATATGGGAGCTATATCTAAATCTTGACCGATTTTTATGAAACTTGGCAGACATCATTCTAGACTCAATTAAGTACGTTATGCCGAATTTCGTGCAAACCGAAAGATATATAAGGACTTTGGGCACCATTTACATGAAATCGGACGAAACTGTATATGGGAGCTATATCTAAATCTGGACCGATTTTCACGAAACTTGGCAGACATAAGTCTAGACCTAAATGATTAGGCTGTACCAAATTTCGTGCAAATCGAAAGATATATAGGGACCGTTTACATTAAATCGGTTAAATATATATGGGAGCTATATCTAAATCGGAACCGATTTTTCCCAATTTCATTAGGGTTCGTCCTTGGGCCGAATAAGTGACCTATGCCAAATTTCATCCAATTCGGATCATAAATGCGACCTGTACTTTGTTTACAATTTAACATGCACAGACAGACAGACAGACGGACGGACGGACATGCATAAATCGACTTGAAAAGTGATTCTAAGCATATTTTCAAAAGGAACCATGTGTCTATCTCGTTTCCTTTTGCCTGTTACAAACATATGCAAAAAGACATAATACCCTGTACCACAGTGTGGTGAAGGGTATAATGAGAGATATATCTAAATCTGAACCGAGTTTTCCCAATTTCAATAGCGTTCGTTCTTGGGGCGAATATATGAGCTGTGCCAAATTTCATCCAATTCAGATCATAAATCTGACCGATACTTTGTTAACAATTTAACATGGACAGACAGACTGGCGAAAAAATGTCACATAAGCTTTTCTTCGAAGGTTAAATGCGGCTAATGACTTCCAATATACTATGATACTATGCTAAGATGTGACCCTGTATCGAAAAGTGTTTTTCGCTCACCATAAACACGCAATGCCAAATTACGAACATCTTCGAGGTACCAAAAAATAAGTGGGGCAATTGTATGGGCACTTTTAAGAGAAACAATTCATCGGAAATGCGGAAGGCCAAATTAGAACCACTTTGATGGGAAAATATTGTTAAAATCTCCAAAAATTAAAATATCGGCCACTTCGGCGACTAGAATCTCAAAAGGAGCGGATCCTTTATATGGGGCTATGTCCAAACAAGGAGGTATATTTATCATATCCTATAAGTATGTTTTCCAGCTTACGTTAATCAGAAATACCAAATTACAGCCACTTCAGAAATACCAAATTATAGCCACTTCGGGGGGTACAGGTAGGCACAATCATCAAAATACCGAAAATGAAGCGGGACTTGGACATGTATAGAAAATGGCAACACTACTGAAGTTGTAGACGCAGGCACTGTCAAACTGCTTGGTTAATTGCTTTAACTAGCAATATCTACAACAATGTTATGCGCATTCGTCGCAAAGTGACGACACATAGTAGTGGAAAATGTTTTGCAGTTGTTCTGCAAATGTTTTGTTAACCACGAAGTCAGACGCCAATGAACTTCTCGCTTGTAAGGTAAGAACTTCGATTTATTACGAGAGACATTTGGGTATGTAAGGTTTTCTGTAAAGAAGCAATAAATAACGTCTGGGGAGAATATTTCAACAACAAACTAAGGGAACTGATGAGGATCAGTGGAGAGATCCGAAACTATAGTCTTCCCTGCCTTACCCCTCGGCGAATATATATTCCCCACTAATAAATAGTTGTTTTTTTATAAAAACAACAACAACAATTTACAGTCACTTCGGAGTGAAAATGCAGTCAAAACATAAAAAAATAAAGATATATTTTGTACCCTCAGGAATACCAAATTATAGCCAATTCGGGTAGAAAATACATGAGGAAGCATGGTCCTATATCCAACATTTCTTAAAAATATGTTATTCGCATGTATTTTAACCTCCAGAAACCTGAAACACCAAGTATCAGCCACTTCGGAAGGAAAGTACGACTAAACCATTCTAAAAACGCGGATCGAATTGCCTGGGAATATATTATCACGGTCCACGTGATACCAACGGCATCAATTAATGTTTGGTTAGCAACCAAGGTTTGAGCAGATGTGAGAGAGCTACATTATCATGTTACAATTACTGGTCTTCTCTGGTACGGATTTCGAATTACTCCGAAGACTTCAGGCAAATAAATAATGAACTACCGTTTAGTATTACCGTTTAGTATTTACTCAATAATCGGCACATTACCACATAACTTTTGAGGTACCGTGATCGAATTTTCTAAACATTTTTGCTCCAATCCATATTTTTATGCGACTTTTAAATTGTGTGGGAACTGGCCCTCGGTATATCACATAACGAGCTTACATTATAAAATCACGAACGATAACTACTACGTCGTGGCACCATGGATGGACTTTTTGGATGAACTTTAACCTTTCAGTTTTTTTAACATAAATCAGTTTTTCATAATACTATGGAATGGTGCCTCATCGAGATACAAAGATCTAAGTTTATCGAAATATTTTTGTTGTTATATTCCAAGACGTAAGTTGAAAAAATGATCTCACAAAAATATTTATGATTTAATTCTATTTTTTGGTATAGATATATTTTATGTCACCGTTATCAACACAACACATGGTCGTACGCCAAACCGTGCGGAATATATAGCAAACCTCTCAAAAATCATTTTAATTGATGTATTGAGAGTGAGCA